ATAAAAAATGCATTTTTGTTGCCCCTCTTAAAGTTCGTTGCAGTTTTAGCTCGTAAGTGCCATCGGCATGGTTGTCTGTGGTTTTAGTCGGTTTTCCCCCCCCCCCCCCGGACTTCACTCAGTCTCACAGAGAAACTATATATAACATCAGTACAGCAAATAGTTTTGTTATGCAAACATCAATGTTTTGTTCATGCACTTATCTCCAATTGGAGATTTTTTTAACAAAAATTAATGATCAAATACTATAACATGACTTGGACCAAAGGGATGAAAACTAATGTTTTCGAACTGTAGATAAGTCATACAAAAGAAATTACTGGAGCAATAGCTGATTCACTGAATGTTATGTATTTGAAACTTTTACGAACACTTAGGCTTAGGCCTAGGCTAAGTGTCGAACTTTTCATGAGATGAACCAAACTTTAATTTGCTGGGGTCGACCTGAATGAAGTTAAGATCGTCTGTTGGGTCAAACGGCGAACTAAGGACGCGTAAAACCAGTCAATTGCAACTGAATCAGATCAGAAAAAAAATTCTTCAGAACGAGGCTAAATATACATTATCATACAAATTATATATATATTTTTTAGAGTTTATTAGTTTAGTTCGTCCGGTGTGAAGATCGACGTTTGTCCCGAGACAATCTTCGTCTAAATAGACGAATAGAACGTGTTGGACGATCCGAACAGTAAGATCGAGACGAGCAGTTAAACTAAAATGAACATTCTATCGTCCCGACTAGCTGCCCCTGGGTCTCCGAGGATGCTCTTGGCTTTACAGTAACAATTACGAATGAAAGGTGAAATTGCCAGTAGAGTGGTCCTTACAGTGGAGGACTACATGAAAGAAAAACCCAATTTTCAAATTAACTACGGTGCCAATCCACAAATAAACCGGCAAGTATAAGTTTCAGTCTGACCTATTGGTCGCACTTCACACAATGCACAAGCGATCTTTTTTCTTTAAGACTTTCAAGCTTCTTTTTAAAGTTTCAACTTTATTTGGAAGCCTACTCGAGGCGGGAAAATATAATTTTTGAAAATATTGTGCAAGAAACAGACAAAGAAGACACTGAATTAGTTGTTCGCACCTTCCTCGAGACGGAATTAGGATACAAAGATGCAAGCACCGTTGAAATACAGAGGGTTCATCGCTTAGGAAAGAAGAAGGAAGAAAAGCCCAGGCAAATTATCGCAAGGTTCCTCCGCTATAAGAACTGTGAAGAAATTCTAGCTTTGGGCTCCCGTTTGCGAGGAAGCAGATTTAAAATGTATCAAGATCTACCCTACGAAATAGTAGCAAGAAGAAGAAAGCAAATGGACACTTTTAAAGAAGCTAGGAAAAATAACATCCCTGCATCTTTTAGTCGGGCACAACCGGATAAGCTCTTGATAAAAGGTAAAATTTGGCCAGTTGGTAAACCTCTCGAGATACCAGGATAGGTGAGAATGCTTCTTCATCATGTCATTACTCATTAGGTAACCAAGATCACGTTAGTATCGTTTGACCACATTTGCCACCCGTTATTATCAATTGCTAGATAATTATTTAGGCGATCGGAATAGAGGTTCGTAACAGATGGCGCTTCGGTTTTTCTTATCTGTCTGTAAGATTCTAGGTAAAAGTCCTAACTTCCCCCCCATGTCCCTTTACGAAGAGGTTTCTTATTTAGTTGTGTTTATCTGTGCATGTTCTGTTTGGTTTCTATGTTTTAATAGCTTAATCATTTGTTTTAGAAGTAAACGCCTAGTACAAATTCCTATCATACCGTGCAGTGATTGTGGAGCTTTGACACCAGGTGATGTAAGGCTTCCTCTGCAAAGCTGCCCAAGAGAATATCTATGGCTTTGACAATAGCATCACTAAACGTCAGGGGATTAAGAGACAATACAAAGCGTAGAGAGGTGTTTAATTGGCTTCGCAAAAAAAATTACTCGGCATATATGCTACAAGAAGTCCACTGCACTGAAAATACTAATCACGTATGGTCTGCTGAATGGGGCTATCAAGCTATTTTTAGTACTTATAAGAGCAATAAAGCAGGGGTATGCATCCTTTTCAACAACAACTTCGATTTTCAAATAGAAAAAACTTACACTGACCCCCAAGGACGCTTCATTATTTGCGACATTAAAACCAATGAAAAGTGTTTTACTTTAGGGAACATATATGCTCCTAATGAAGACAACCCAACTTTCTTCCTTGACTTCTTTGATCACCTTGCAGATTTCAAATGTGATGATATTATTATAGGAGGCGACTACAACCTTGTACTGGATTTAGAGAAGGACAAGATGGGTGGTCTTACTAAAACTCACCAAAATAGTGTTAAAGTTGTTCAAGAATTCTCTGAGAAACTAGATCTGGTAGACGTCTGGAGGATTCTACACCCAGACACTAGTAGATTTACCTGGAGACAACGTCATCCAAAAGTACACTGTAGGCTCGATTTTTTTCTAGTAAGCCAAAGCACAGTTAACATCACGACCCTCGCAGATATCGTCCCAGGTTATAAAACCGACCACTCAATGACTACGTTATGCTTATCACTACATTCAAATCTACGTGGACCAGGTTTCTGGAAACTAAACACATCTTTTTTAACTGAATTGGATTACGTAAACCAAATTAAAACAACGATTCAGGAAACACTCGATGAGTACAAAAATGACGAATCGGTAAATCCTTCACTTCTTTGGGAAATGATAAAGCTAAAAGTGCGCGAAAAATCGCTCCGCTACTCCAAGAGCAAAACAAAGCAAGCTAAACAACGCGAAACATTTCTGGAACAAACAATTGCCAGATTAGAAGCGGATCTCGATAATAAAAACTCCGATGAAATGCACTCCTTACACCTGGAGGAACAATTGAATGAAAGCAGGCTTGAGCTTGAAAAGATAATTGAAATCCGCACCAAAGGCGCAATTTTGAGATCTAAGTCTAAATGGTATAATGAAGGAGAGAAAAACACCAAGTATTTTCTTAATTTAGAAAAACGACACTACAAGCAAGGGACAATAAGTCAAATTAAAATAAACGATAGCGAATTTGTCACCTCGGATAAAAAAATATTAACTGAATGTGTGGCGTTCTATAAAAATCTCTACTCATCCAAAGGTAACACATACAACCAAGATGGTACAACTGTTTTCTTTGAGGGTGGTGATGAAAGAGCCATTGACGAACATGAATTAACTTCGTGCGAAGGAGTTTTAACTGAAAAAGAGTGCCTTGAGGCTTTAAGAGATATGGAATCAGAAAAGACCCCTGGGACCGACGGCCTACCAGCCGAATTTTACAAAGTGTTTTGGAAAGATGTATCCAGCACCCTAATTAGCGCACTGAACTACGCTTATGAAACTGGAAAACTCTCAATAACCCAGAGAAGAGGAATTATCAAACTTATCCCTAAGAAAGACGCAGAACCGTTCTTTATTAAGAATTGGAGACCCCTAACCCTCCTGAACAGCGACTATAAAATAGCGGCAAAATCAATTGCTAATCGCTTGAAACCTCTCCTCCCTGATCTCATTAATTACGACCAGACTGGCTTTATAAGAGGTCGTTTTATCGGAGAAAACATCCGCCTTATCGATAGCGTTATTTGCTACGCTAAAGAAAACAATATACCAGGATTACTTTTGTTTTTAGATTTTGAAAAAGCTTTTGACACGATAGAATGGCCTTTCATTAGGAAAACCTTTCAACATTTTGGTTTTGGTAGTAGCATCTTAAAATGGCTAAACCTTTTCTATTGCTGCCCAGAAAGCTGCGTTTTGAATAATGGTTGGGCGAGTGATTTTTTTGAAATCCAAAAAGGTGTAAGGCAAGGCTGTCCCCTCTCACCTTATCTGTTTGTTCTGGCAGTAGAAGTTTTAGCTAAGGCAATTCGTGAAAATAAAAGTATTAAAGGGATCTTTGTAAACGGTAAAGAAATAAAACTAAGTCAGTATGCAGACGATACAACTCTTATACTAGATGGAACAAAGGAATCGTTAATAGCCTCTCTCAAAACACTGGACGATTTTTATGAAGTCTCTGGCTTAAAACTTAATGACAAAAAAACAGAAGCCTTTTGGATTGGGGCAAATTGTAACAAAGATGAAATATCAATTGTCGGAAGAAACTTTAAATGGCCGAAGTGTAAAGTTAAAGCTTTAGGTGTCTGGTTTTCAAATGATCCGGAAGCAACTGCAACTTTAAATTATAATGAAAAACTAGATAAGGTCCGGAATGTTTTGAGCTGCTGGAAATACCGTAGACTTACCCTAGTTGGAAAGATAACGGTCCTAAAAAGTCTGGTTGCCTCTCAGCTCGTTTATGTGCTCTCACCTTTACATACAAATGTGAAAATTATCAAAGAAGTAAACAAGTTATTTTTTTCATTCCTCTGGAATGGAAAAGGAGATAAAATCAAACGAGACATTATAACAAACGATTATGCTAATGGAGGACTTAAAATGATAGACATACAGTCTTTTAACAAGTCCCTGAAAGCTACATGGATTAAAAAATATCTGGATGAAGAGAACCAGGGAAAATGGAAATATTTTTTTGATATAGAGTTAGAGCGATTTGGAGGCACAATAGTCCTCACTAGTAATTTAAACAAGAAAGATACCATTGAGAATCTCAAGATTAAGAATAACTTTATAAAAGAGATACTTTCAATCTGGGCGGAAGTCAATTTTGATGAAAACATAACGTCCGAGAAACAATTTCTTGAACAAACTTTATGGTACAACTCACTCATTAGAATCGATAACTGCCCCGTCTTCTATCGTGAATGGTTTGATCGAGGCGTTACGAAAGTGAAACATTTGAAAGATGAACATAACAAATTTTTATCACTAGCTGAGCTGCAGCAAAAATACAGCCTCAAAGTTTGTCTTTTAAAGTATTTCGGACTAGTGTCTGCTCTAAAATCTCTTTGGACTACATGTAAAACAAACTGTATCAAAAACTGCAACAATTATGAAACCTTTGTAGTAAGATTAACAGAATGCCAAAGTGCGAGCAAACTTGTATACACCAAGTTGCTTTCTACAAAATGCAAGTTACCATCCCATAATCAACAGAAATGGCTAAAAGACTGCAACGAAAATGATGTGGAGGCGATTAATTGGCGGGAAGCCTACCAGTTGGCCGCTAAATATACTAAAAGTACAAGAATTATTGAATTCCAATATAAATTTTTACATAGACGAATATCAACGAACGACTTCTTAACAAAAATTGGCGTAAAAGACAACCCAAATTGTTCTTTTTGTAATAATGAACCGGAGAAACTTCTTCATCTTTTTTGGTCTTGTCCTAAAGTGGCCTTTTTCTGGCATAGTTTATCTCTTAAGCTGACTTTGCTCCACATTACACCGGAACATTACACATTAGATATATTTGTTGCACTTGGTCTAAAGCCGGATTCTTCAAAAAACTGCCAGCAAATTAATTTCCTTTTCCTTCTAGCCAGAAATTACATCTGGATTAGCAAAAGAAGGGAAACCTCGCCAAAGATAGCAGGCTTCCTGCAATACCTCAAATCATTCTACCACATAGAGACCACTGCAGGTCCCATTTTACCAAAAAAATGGGAAAATGTGAGCTCCTTATTTCAGTAAGCCTTTGATTTTGTATACATTTGTATATCTCGATCCTCTGCTCATTTTCTCCAGCATTAACCTGGTGTATCTTTTGCTTCACAATCGCTGCCTCTTTAAGACACTTAAGATATAAGTGCGTTTACCGTGAATGTTTGGTTTTGTAAATGTTGGTTTTGAAGTACAATTACTAATTAGAACTGCTTGTAAATAGTGCATTGTAGTGCGAGTAGTGAGTAGGTAGTGTTGTAAGTACTGAGTATTGTAAGTCTTTACATTGTAAACAGAGTAAGTACCTTAGTCTATTGTATTCTAAATATTGTATTGTAAGTAGTGTAAGTATCGTAGTGTTTGTAAGTATTTTTGATTGTTGATTGTCGATTGAATAAATGTTATTAAAGATAAAAAACAAAAAACAAAAAACAAAAAAACAAAAAAAAAACTTTCCGAGTTAATGAGATGCAAAGTTAAGTTTCCGGATTAAGTGCCTTGAGGTTTTAGCTACTAGGCCCAGTTAATACACATATTATTGCTATACAATGTCAGGTACTTCTAATAAAGTCATAACAAATAGAAAAACGGCTGGTGCAGTCTACATTCAATACGTCTTGAAGCTTTTCGATCATGATTCAAAATCTGTTGTTGTTGTTAATGAAGTATAACTGAATGCAGTAACATACGCTGAGACGAAAATGACAGGAAAGTCGCAATAAAGAAAGTAGACAAGCGTGACAAAAGCACAGTAAACTTATTTTACTGAAGTTGTGCGTATTGACTCAGAGTAATAATATTCAGGGGAGACATGTTCGGTTACATTTTTGTTTTGCACTACGGTAATGATGCAAGTTCACTTTCGATTCCTGTACGGACAGTAGTAGAAAGTTGAGTGTCATGAAAAATGGACGTTAGCAAACATCCTCAACACTCCGTTGTCTACAACCAGTTTTCAAGTAATGTTATGTATACACGGATTAACATATCAAAAATACTGGGTGGTAGACGGACTGTCAAAAAAAATATAACACGGATTTAAAGTAGGATTTAAGTACTTCGCTATTCACCCCCTCTGGAATGCACTGTTGAGGCTACAAACTCAAATAAGCGAAAAAAAAAGCATACCTTCACCACGTAAATGTTAAAGAAAACACATGACTTTCATTCAACGTTCCAAAGGCAAAAATCTAAGATAAGTCCGATGCCCTTGACGTAACAGCACTCGTTAGAGTCTTACGCCAAAAACTCACTCCGGATCAAGGAAAACTAATATGACACTGAGTAAAATCATCATGCCTAGAAAGACTGGTTCACTATGTAAAGCCTAAGAAGTTCAGTCAATGTGACTCGAAGCACTTCGACTTTAAATCTGATCTTTTGTTGTCGTCAATACAGTCTAAGCGACGAGGCTATTCTCGTGTTGGACACAGGCTGCAGTCAACTCAACCAGTGTAACACCACTTCGAGCTGAAAAACGAAGCACTGATGCAAAGCTTACATTGAAAGGATAAAGCAATAAGATTTCATCCACAGAATTAACTCGATTTCGAAACGAATGAATGTCATTAATTTGCGGATGGGAGAAATGGGGTATTAAATAACTGTATCATTGAGCTGAGCGCCGACAGAATAAGCTTAAATTAGTCCAATCTACTGCCTTACAATAAACTCTGTATTGCAATATTTCAATTGCAGATATTGTACGAACCTTAAGTGAGGCAAAATGCTCAATAAAGTGAGTGCAATGACTTCTTTCACCACAATTCCTCCACAGCGAACGACGTATTCCCAGAACGCGGAAGCTCTGTGAGGGTGTTGGTCATGTGACTTACCTGTCGCTTTTACGGGGGATGGGAGGTTGGAGACACTGATCCACAAACAGATAGTCGGGAAAGCACGAACACGAAAATATAACGGGAGGGAACTGGGGAAAGGATAGGCGGCTCTCTCCGTTCCATTTTTCCCACCACCTCCCCCTTTTCCCAGATCACATGCTCATTTTCGAGTGCCTTTCCCCTATGCGTCATCCCTGTTATCTGAGAGCTTGGAACAGGCTAAACACGGACAATATCGGTGTTCGTGCTTCCTGTAAGGTAAGGTTATGCGACTCGAAGGGACGGCTGATGTAATCTGTCTGATGTAATCTGCAAACAATATTAATACAAGCTCTAGATTTGGATGGTGCAGTTCTTTTTAGTTGTTAAATATAAATACAATGTAGTAGCGAGACTTAAGATAAAAGCCACCGTTACAGTTTTCAATTGTAAGCTATAAAATCAAAGAAGAAAGTCCCTGTATGCAGGCAATATGAGGAAAAGCTAGTTCCACAGTTCGACAATTAAGAGCTATTGGGGTTTGCTATATCAGACGTCATATTACAAACTGACGCACAGAAAACAAATTCCCAAATGTTGAGTTAGTTTACGAGCAACAATCATGACAACACTTTGTAAGTCTTACAGGTAGTAATGATGCTATGGTGTACAGTAAAAGGGTTACCTTGAATGTGAGCACCACTTAGGAGTACCGGGGGAGAGTACTCCTAGGAATTCTTGGTGGGGGTGTGCCGCCCGGTTCTCCAAATCCTCACCCTATTTCAGACCAAAAAAATGTAATTTTACAGACCCGTTTTCAGACCAGACCTCCAAAACCCATATCCGTTTTCAGACCCGGCCTTTAGGCAAAATTTACGTTATCATTCCTTCGATTCAATGTGCAAACAAAAAAATTCTTCAAATGCATTTCGAATTCGTGTATTTTTTTTTCTTTCTTATTCATTTGGAATTGAAACGATAAATACGTTCATACGCTCCGATAGTACCCTCGAAAACCATACCCGATTCCAGACCAAAATGGGCAAAGTATATACCCGTTTTCAGACCAAAACGGCGCAAAAACGCGACTCGGTGGGGCGGCACATACCTATATAGCTTATATAAGGGAGTAACCCCCGGGTTAGGAGTACGCTCCATGATGATGTGTAATCAACTTTTACGGGGGCGCTTTCCATTCAGCCCAAAATTCCGGAAATCCGGTTAGAAATCAAAAGGAACGGACCATTTTGGTTTGGTCTGACCGGAATATTTGACCCGTCCGCTCATTTAAGGTCGGTCGGACCGTCCTTTTCCATTTCACAAAACTAGGGAGCTTAAGATGCGACGACGGCGACGGCAACGGGAACGCCACAAAAACAATAGGTTTAATTAGCAAAACAACAACTTTGCACGTGCATCACCCTTTTTTGTACATTTCTTTGCCGTCACTGGACGACTACGACGTGCAAATGCCTAATTTCACGATGTAAAGAGGAAGTACACAAGCGACGACGAAATTTCCTCTCTCCTTCTGAGACGAGAATTCGTTCTTAGGAATTCGACTTTAGGAGGGTTCGCCTACATTTGACAAAGTTAGTGACTTGGAGTAATCGCGATGAAGATTGAAAGAACGCGAATTCACTTTTTCAGCGACGCTTTCTCTGCCGTCGCAGTCCTAGGATCTTAAGGTCCCTATTGTTGTCCCCAGTACGGCTCGTTTGCATCCTGCTTACAAGAACAATAACCAAACGCACGGTGGCTTGGGTCGGGTCCAAGCAAACGGAATTGTACCGTTCCATTGGGCACGTGGAATTTCCAAAATTTCAAACCAAACTATTTTTTGAAAGGGGAGCGCCCCAGGACTCTTTTTAAATTAGCTCCAGTATAAATAAGAAGTTCCAGTACAAATAAATAAATACATAAATAAATTACATCCAGTCACCAAGGACGTTGGCATTGGATCCAGAATGCAAGTTTTCTGTCTTAGCTACGCTATCAATGACTCTAAATACTCCACATTCAGATAATGGTTGAAATTGATCCATCCAGGTACCAGACCACGATTCAGCATTGTTACTTGAAATAACTAGTCTGCTACACAGCCGTTCTTTGTGTCGTCACGCAACCCTGGAGGAGCGTTGCGTGACGACTACGAAATATCTGGCAGTCTTGACGATAGTTCATCAAGCTCAACATGAATCGTTTTAACCTTCTCAAGAAATTAAAGAAACTTCCCTCTTGGTTAGCAAATGTCAATTTATCCTTAAACCGTGGAAATGGAACCCCGTGGTCTCGTTTTAAGAGCCTCTTTGTAGCTAAGAATCAGGATTCTTCCGATTAGAACTGCGCCATGAGCCTACAGATATGGCGCTATAGAAATCTTTATTATTATATTATTATTTATTAGAACTGTTCCTATTAATAATAATAACGTTATTATTATTATTATTATTATTATTATTATTATTATTATTATTATTATCATCATTATCATTATTACCCTGATGCCGCCTTACTAGTTGACGCCTCAAACGCCTTCAATTCACTAAACAGAGCGGCCGCGCTGAATAACATCAGAGTGCTATGCCCTTTGATCGCCACCTATGTAACCAACACTTATCGAGTACCTGCGCGCCTTTTTGTGGTTGGTGGTAGTGAGATTAAATCTGCAGAAGGAACTACACAGGGAGACCCCTTAGCTATGTCAATGTATGCAATTAGCTTACAACCGTTAATATCGCTACTTCATAACCGTAGCACTGCAAAACAATGTTGGTTCGCGGATGATGCCACTGGAGCAGGACCCATAGAAGAGGTCAAGCAATGGTGGGATGAGTTGAGAGAGGCTGGTCCGCCCCTTGGATATTATCCCAATTTCAAGAAGTGTTGGCTTGTTGTTAAGCCGGAAAAGGAAGGCCGTGGGAAGGAAATGCTTGCAGGGACTGGTATCAACATCACTTCTGAGGGGCGCAAACACCTTGGCGCTGTGCTGGGCTCACGGTCTTATCTTGAGCAATTTGTGGGTGGCAAGGTAGAAGATTGGGTGGGAGAAGTGACCGAGGTTGGCGGAGTTTGCAAGATCTCAGCCACAAGCTAGTTACGCAGCATTCACATTTGGGCTTAGACATCGGTGGACGTATTTTACGAGAACACTACCGGATATCGAGAACCTACTGCAGCCTTTAGAGCGTGCAATCTCGGATGTGCTTATACCATCGCTCATAGAACGTAACTGCTCTGAGGCAGAGCGCGATCTAGTAGCATTGCCGTTGCGTATTGGAGATCTTGGGCTCATAAATCCATCTGATAATGCGGATGCGGAGTATTCAGCGTCTATTAGGGTAAGCGCTCCACTTGAAAGCAAAATAGAGGCGCAATTTCATGAGACCCCAGAGGAAGCGGAGGTACAACGACTGGTATACGCCATCCGGAAAGAAAACGATGATGGGCTAAAAGAAGAGCTTGAGGAGGTGAAGGCCATGTTGCCAGACAAGACACAGAGAGCCGTGGACCTGGCCTG